AAACATTGTGCTCCATCCCTGTGTTTGAACTCAGAAGATGCTCCTTGATGCCACAGATATGTGATGATTTAGCGTGTTTCTTTATTTTACTCCAGAATAAGAGATTAAAGTATTACTAAAGCAGTTCAGTATAGTTAAATTAGTCATTCACGTGATTCTAAAATGCTGCAGTGTGTGTGTGTGTGCGCGCACGTGCTTGCGTGTGCATGTGCGTGCGCACGTGTGGGTGTGTGTGTGTTACACATATAGAACTGCATGAGACAGCGTGGTTTCATCAAATCCATGCATCTTATATCTTGGCTGCAGTAACGGCTCAGGAAAATAACTTATATTTCATAAATAATGACATCTTAATAGTGTCTACGATGATGTTTTATCTGAACTTTGGTCTGGGAGGTGTAACATATCATGATACAAGCCTTTTAAAACAAGTTAAAGTGTTACAAGAGGAGATAAATGCATGAATTTAAAGTTCATGTTTGGAGACCAACCTTCACAGTGTGGAGGCTCACGCTGGTGAGGAGACACCATTAGTTCTAGTAACACCTGGAAGGATTCCAGTTGGATGACTGGAGGATTATTTAGGAGGATTGGAATGAACAAACTGATTTCAGTGGTGAAGGGTTAAATGAGTGAATGAACCCACTACCAAGGATGAACTCTGTCTGCTAACTTTAAAAATCAGCTGCTCTAAATAAGCATGAAGGTCAGAGAGGAGCTCTAGGATGGACATGAATAAAGGAACTGTAATGTAGAGGTAAAGTAGGGCAGGGCCAACGTTAGCAGCTGTCATATGGTTCATCTGAAATGTTTGACTTTCTTTTAGCTTGTTATGTGACAGGTTAGAGCACAGTCTCATGTTAGAGTTTTGTCATGAAAACATTGAGATACCTCACATGCTGATGGCATCTTAAAAAATTATTTTTTCTCAAAATAAAGAATAATTTTGATCACAATTGAAACTTACCATCCTAAAAAAACCTCGTCCAATCAATGTGCACGTCCTGTTCTCACTGATTGGAAAGAAATCCCTCCTTCAAGCTGTGTGTGTTTGAGTGTGTGTGTGTGTGTGTGTGTGTGTGTGTGTGCGCGCACACGAGTGAATTGTGAACTGGCGTTGTGATTTAGCACTACTTAGACCAGGGGTGTCAAACTCAAACTCACACGGGGCCGAAATGAAACTCTGGGACGGAGTCGAGGGCCAAACTTAATATTTTTTGAAAAAGTGATGGCAAATTAGCACATTTTCTTTATCAACATATATGCAATTTTGAACCTTTAAACCTGCCGGTGTCTGCAACCTTTAAATTTGGAAACAAACTTATTTCCGCATTAACACTGAATGTGGAATAACCAAATTACACACGAGCAAGTCAGTTTTAAATAAAAGGCATCAGTGGTATTCATTACTTGTGGTATAATCAGCATTTTTAAAATCTATTCAGGATTTATGTTTTCTTGTTTATTCATTTTTCTTATTATTTATTCTCCTTTTTTTCTCCTGTAATACGTGTCATCACTGCTGTGATGTCTAGCTTTCCCCACTGAGGAACAATAAAGGGATTTTCTATTCTATTCATCTATCTGCAGCCTTTCCACTTCCTGTTTTACTGTAGGTTTAATCTTTTCTCATGGGCCAACAACAAAATAAAAATATCATTTTATCTTAAATGAAAATGCAACATCTCACCTGTTAACTTTCATGTTTTGGAGCAGAAAAAGAGCATAAAACCAACATATTTAAAGCTCAGTTTGCTACACTGGTTTACTGTGATGCTCACCTGTTCCAGCCAGATACCTGCATCATGGGGTTGATCTGAGCTGAGGAGGAGACTCCTGTTGTTTTGTTCATCTTCATCATAATAATGACAACATTAGATGACAACAGGTGCTCACATAGGTTTGTGCTGATTAACATGTCTGAGCAGCTTGACCACGTTGTTGTGTGTCGGGGAGGAAACGACGATTGCAGCCACAGAGCTGGTTTGAGCGTGTCGCTGTTTGCTGGAGTTATATCAGCTCTGTCTGGACTTTAGTTGGAAACTTTCTCTTTAAGTCGTGAACACATTACTGAGCGGCTAGAATCTCCGTTTCTGGGCTTCAACGTCAGAAAACAGCTGAGTGAACTCGGCGCTGAGTGAGAGGAGTGTTTGTCCGAGACAGCAGAGCTGCAGACACCGGCAACAGACGCTGGAAAAAAACACAAAGGAGGGGGCGCGTCGGCTCCGCGCTGACGCCGCAAATCATCATGGGAGTTGAAGTCTTTGCGGTAAAATCGGCCAGCGGGCCAGTTTTAATATATTTTTGATATTTATCTCACGGGCCACATAAAAATACTCCGCGGGCTGCATCTGGCCCGCGGGCCTTGAGTCTGACATATGTGACTTAGATGTAGCCATCCTTACGCTGACAAAAATGTAACTAAGTAACTTTTACTTTGAGTAAATTTTGTTTACGATACTTTTTACTTTTACTTGAGTAAAAATTTAGGCAAGTACTTTAACTTGTAATTGAGTAAAAAATTATCAAAGTATTGGTACTCGTACTTAAGTAGGACATTTTAGTACTCTTTTCACCTCTGGAGGATCTACACGCCCGCCTACAAGCCCGTGTGACATCAGAGAGCCAAGACTCCCTCCTAGGCCGAGACTTGCAAAGTTTGAAAGGCAACCACGTCCAGGACCTGATTACAAAGTAAATCAAAGTGTTGTGAATAGTGTTCAGTGTTAGATGGATCAGGGTTAAAGGTCTCTAACCTTACAGACATACAGTCCACAAACTTTGAAATAGTTTCTGCATCCAGGGCTCTAAACCTAGTAGCGGGAGCTTCACACACAGGGACAAGACATGGCAACGTAACATCACAGAGTACAGGAGAGTGGTCAGAGAACACAGGAAGCAAAGTCACAAGGTTCATGATGGGGAGACCAAAAGAGAGAACCAGGTCCAGGTTGTGACCCCTGGCATGAGTTGGGGATGATACCCATTGAGTTAGATTGAATGAATCTAGCAAATAAAAAAAGCCTTTAGCAAGCACATTGTCAGGACAGCAGATATGGATGTTAAAATCACCAAGAATTAGGACATAGTCATATTTTAGGATGCAGTCTGCCACAAGATCACAGAAATCATTAAGGAAGTTAGAGTCAGTCTTTGGAGGGCGATAAATCAGCACAACGAGCAGGGGGGAGATGCACAGTTCAAATAAGCACAGTTCAAATGAAGAAAATGACATGGTGGGTGTAAGCTGTTTACAAGGAAAGCAGGATTTAAAAACAACAACCAGCCCTCCACCTCTGCCCCGCGATCTGGGGATATTAAAACACGAGCAGCCAGGTGGTACCAGCTCCAGCAGGGCGCTTGAGTCACCAAACGATATCCAGGACTCACAGATGCAGAGAAAACCCAGGTCATGCTGAATAAAAAAGTCACGAAGTATAAAAGTTTTGTTCAGCACAGACCTGGCATTGACCAGACCAAACCGGGTCTGCGGCGGGGCTGCAGCACCAAGATCGCGCACAAGCACAGTCTCCTTTAACTCTGTGCCCATAACCGAGTGCAGATTCTCCCAGCAAACCCCAGTCTGGCGAGATCTTCGAGCCGATCGGCCGTGGCGCGGTGCCGGTTCACCCTCAGAGCCGGCCAAGTTCCCTGGGCAGGGTGCCGAGTAATCCAGGAGACATCTCAGAACCACCGGGTCAGGAGCTGGGCCGAATCGGACCAGCCGCTTGTTCAGGGATCCAGGCCGACGTCTCACGCGCCGGCTAACTCTCTTTCCCCGTCTTCTCTGATGCTTCCTTCTCGAGCTGGGACGGACAGAGGGCCGACACTTCACGGCTTGGGGGGAGAGAGCACGCGGGCAGTCCAACCAGCAGCACCATCCGTGAGGTTCCCAGCTCGCGCAACCCGCTACATCAACGGAAGGACGAAGCCTCAGCAGCGCAGCTCGATCATATGTCAACAGAGGATCCACACCATTCAAAAAAAGCATCAGAGACAACAAAAATGCATAAAAGCCAATAAAACGCCAATAAAAACCAGTAAAAAGCAAGGTACCAGTGCATAAAGAGGACGAGCAGCTCGCAGCGTGCACCCGCGTGAGCGCCATCTTACTCTCCACTCACTTTTCAGGTTCCCCAACAAGTCCACCTGTGTTTAGTGTATCTAGAGAAGGTTTATGACCACTTCCCCGTGGCACCCTGCTCAGGCAACACATTCCCACACCCGAAGCGTTGAAAACTGTCGATTGGGCTCCCGATGCATCGGGAGGCGACGCGCTGTGCGAGAGCATCGGTTTCCAACTGCAGCGGGAAAATGGTGATTTCACCGAATTCTGACCTTTACCCTATTGCTATTTAAAGGTAGTGGCCAGACTCAGCATTAAAACTGTGGAAATACAGTATAACTACACTTTATCATCTATATAAATATGAACTGGGTTCAGTTTTTCATTTTGTTAAGGAATTTAGTCATAAATCATTACAGAAAATCAAAATTCTCTTGCAGATTCTGCAGTGATGCAGATGATGAACCAGTCCTTTGTGGTGAAGAAGGAGCTAACCAAGTTAACAAAGCTCACAATTTAGTGGTTTTAGTCCCAATTCTCATTTATAGTCATGAGACCAAGACAAAGATTATAATTACAAGCATCTAGATGAGTTCCCTCCATTGTGAGGCTGGGCACAACCTTAGAGATAGGGTAAGGAGCTTAGACATTCTGGAGGGACTGAAAGTAGAGCCGCTGCTCATCCACATAAAGAGGGGTCCACTGCAGTGGTTTGGGCATTTGGTCAGAATGCTCCACCGATGTTTCCCAGGGATGGTGTTTCATGCATGTGTCAGCTTTGGCGAGGAGATACGTTGGGATCCCTCTGGTAGAGCTGTCAGACCGGTGAACGGACGACAAATACATGCCTTGTAAATTACTGAGTGTTTCTTAATTGTTATGATAAATGGCTACAGTTTTCATTATGTTGCATGACACCTCCTTTCTGGTACAGGTACAGTCTGGATGCAGTACATCCTCCCCCTGGTGTTGAATGATGGTGATATGAGAGCAGTACAAACCACTACGAACTGGAGGCGGGCTCCATGGCTGGAAGTAAAAAGAACTGCTCCTATTGTGGATCAGCTGACACCTCCACGCGTGCTAGTCACACATTTCCCCTACAACCTCATGCCCCCATCTCTCCACACTTCCAAAACCAAGGTACTATGGCTGAAACATATTCTTTATTAGGAAAGAGTGTGGCTGAAGCAAATTCACAGGTGAAGAAGGAGTTTGTTTATGGCATTGAGAAAGGCTGTAGATGGTGCCGAAGAGGTATAGCCAACCATCTGAGACTTCAGTGGGGGCAGGAAGCCGCTGGCATTCAAGACGTATTAAGTCAGGCTGTAGGAATAGTTCAATGATCTCCTCTATCCCACCAACACATGTTGGTATTATCAACGATTCTGGGACAGAAGTTATCATCAAGCATCGATGCAGTGGAGGAGCCACAGTGGCCCCCAGTTCCCAAAGGTTTTTCATGTTGTAAGACTATCTGGACTAAAACCTTTAATTCCCCTGTGTTCATGTGAATATTCCTAACTTAGAACCTAAACTTCATTTGTGATGACAGATTCTTGCTCTGTAGGTAATCTATGTCATGAGGGACCCAAAGGATGTTCTGGTGTCTTCATTCTATTACCACCAAATGGCAAATTTCCTTGAAGATCCAGGAACATTTGATGAATTCATGAAGAAATTCCTAGAAGGAAGAGGTCAGAGGTCACACCCCACTTCTAAACTATACAAAGGTCAATAATGAATAATTTCAAGCAAAGCTAAGTAAACTGTTCAGGGGCCTCATTTATCAAGCTTGCTTACGCACAAAGCGGGGTTGGAAAACTACGTAAGCAACTTTCCACGCAAACTTTGGGATTAATGAAAGAAAATTTAGTGGAAAAATATGCACAACTTTAAGTTGACTAAGGACCTGGCTCATGCACATTTTGGACATGGAGAGCACCTGCAGTGTTGCTGCTGAGAAGGATAAAATTATGAAATCCAACAGCATTATCACTTGTACGGCTTCGTTTTCACACAGAACAAGACACCCCACACACAAACACATGCGCGCACGCACACACACACACACACAGCCTGAAGCACAGAATACGGAATGCAGAATATCAGCAGGGGGACAGATTGAGACAGAATGTCATGCGTCTGTGACAGTATGTGTCCTGTCACTGTGACCCAATTGATCATGCGCCCTGGCTGGTTGGACAAGGGGGATCTTCGTTTGGCTGACTGGTTAGCATGCTTGACTTTCACCCGGGTGTCTGGGGATCGAATCCTGATTGGACCACCATTTATATCCGCCACAGATCTCTCTGAAGAATTCACAACATTGACGGCTTCAGCAACGCTATGCCACTCCGTGGATTTTCTCTTATTTGTTTTTCAAAAGTACTTCCTTTCATTTCTCCACTTCACCCACAAGTACCTCAATTTCTGCTTGCGAAATAGCGCTTCCTTGATCTGCGGTCGTGATCGAAATGCTGCAACAAGCTGGCTTATGTATATGCATGAGATCCACAAGGCACTTTGCATTGACTATTTATGGCAGTAAGTGAGCGTGGTGAGGGCGGGATGTGACTAAAATGCAGCTGAGAAACATTCTCGTTAGTCTCCGATTTATGAAGCGGAGATTGTGTGCAGCTTTGCGTACTCCATGTTTGATAGATCACAAACCTACTTGGCGTAAGTACTTTTTTTTGCTGAGCTTAAGTACGGTTTTAGTAAGGATTCTACACAATGTCTGATAAATGAGACCACAGTTCATTACAAATAAGACCAACTTTCACATGATGTATTATGGTCTGATATTTCATTATATGTGTTTGATTTGATTTCATATTAATCACATTCTTGTCTCTTTTTAAATTAAAATCTGGGGGTTTACTGCAGTGCAATATGGAAAATGGACTAATCACGTGAAGGGCTGGAGACACACTGAGCTTGGAGACCGGATAATGTACATCACATATGAAGAAATGGTTCAGGTAAACGTCACCTAAAGTGTCTGGAAACATGTTTGCTATTTGTTTCACGTGAAGCTGTTTTTAATTACACTGAACAAAAATATAAACGCAACACTATTAATTTTGCTCCCATTTTTCATGAGCTGAACTCAAACATCTGAAAATGTGTCTACATGCACAAAACAGCCATGACTCTCAAATATTGTTCTGAAATCTGTCTACATGTGTGTTAGTGAGCTACTTTCCTTTACCAAGACAATCCATCCCACCTCACAGGTGTGGCATATCAAGGGGCTGATGAGACAGCATGAATAATATACAGGTGTGCCTAAGACTGCCCACAATAAAAGGACACCCAAACATGTGCATGGTTCTTTATGGGGGTTGGCGGGGCAGAATATCAGTCAGTATCTGGTGTAGCCACCTTTTGCCTCATGCAGGGCAACACATCTCTGTGGCATAGAGTTGCTGAATATTGGCAAGAACTGGAAAACGCTGTCATATACGCTGATTCAGAGCATCCTAAACATGCTCATGGGTGACATGTCTGGTGAGGATGCTGGCCATGCAAGAACTGGGATGTTTTCAGCTTCCAGGAAGTGTACAGATCTTTACAATATGGGGCCGTGTGTTATCATGCTGCAACATGAGGTGATGGTTGTAGCGCAGCTCAAGGCCCGTATTTCATCAAATGGCCAACAGTTAACTTCTTCATACAGGACATGCCAATCTGACACCAGGGGTGTTGACATGAGTATCCTCAGCTTATCCTGTTCCATTTCACAAGTCACCACAGAAGACACAAGACTCTTTATCTAAATCCCTTTAGTGAAGTTATCTTTTCTGGCTCATAAAATAACTAACAAGTTATTACAATCATATTCTGTGGTACCTACAATATGTTTTGAATCTTCGCTTTTTACCTGG